CCATTTTTTTTTTTTTTTGGTCTGAACTCACCACGTGGGGATTGCCTTCTCTGAAGAGGAGACTTTGGTCGGCAACCTAATTAAAGTGGAGAGGTCAAAGCAGACTATTGAAATGAAGAGTGTTACAACCATGTAGCTATTATATTTGGGCAATTCTTAAAAAGGGGGAAGAAACTCTTTCGGGAGATTTAAAACTTTGCTTCAAATAAGACTTCAAAAAATAAAAGGATGTGAATTGGCTTAGAGTAAAAAGACATTAATAGAGTAAGGAAGGAAAATAGAAGGATATATTTTGTGGATAAACTAAATTCATGGTCTTGAGCATCACATTTTGTACAATTAAAACTCATCTGATGGTGTGGTGGTTTAAAGCTTAACATCTTCCTCTTTTCTAAAACGGGTGATTGCCAACTCTGGTTTTTCACATACCCCATCCTCACCCCCCCGCCCCAGGCCTGTCTCCAGTGATCTCAGAAGTGACAAAATGACCTCCAAATAAGTTTACTTTTGATTTAATAACATATCCACCTTATTTTTTTGTTTGATGGAAAGGGAGAATGACAAAAGTGTAAAGAAAGTGTAAGATTAGTATCCTCATCTAAGTCTTAAGTTGACAAAGTTAGAACACCTCGTGCACAATGCAGAGAAAAACCGTTTGCCTTGTATTTCATTCACGCTGCTCCCTACGCATCGGGAGACCAGATGTCTGCTGTCCAGAGTACAGGGCTTTTTTTCTTAGTGCTTAGTAAAATTTACTTTTTAAAGTCTGGAGAAAAACTGCAGCTTTTCCCCGATCCTTAGCATTGTATAGCTTAATAATTTCATATACTCGAAGCATTTTAGCAGAAAATGAGCTTTGACTATTTATAGATTAGCAGCAATCCAAGAAAGGCTATGGAAAATTCTGGAAACGGCCTTTATTTTGCAAACCCATTACTAAAATAATTACATAGTTTTCATAAAGAATAAATAGTAAGTACAATGTAGGGTTTGGAAAGGGGACTAAATTAGGGGGTGGAGGTGTGAGTAGTTGACATTTCTTTTTTCTTGTCTGATTCCTGCTAATTGTGTACAAAAATATACATTAGATTTGGCATTTCTCCCCTCCTTAAGAAAACAATGTTTGGAAATCCCTGTTTAAAGCTAATTTGTCCCGAGGAATATAAAGACCTTTAGTGGGGTATCCGGGTCCCTATGGGAATTTTTTTTATAAACACACCATGTGGTGCAATCTGTTACAGCCTACAATGGGGGGGATGGGGAAGCACGCTCTGTGGGGCCAGGAACAAAGTCATCTCTGGGACTTGTGGAGTATTAACTAAAAATGCGAAAGATGACACAGCTCACACCTAGAAATACCTTCCTCCCGCCCTAAATCCTAACCCAGAATACATTAAATGTATGCGCTCTTTAAAACTATTTAGCAAGTTAGTTTAGGGAAGAAAAACCTGAATCATTTTTGAGATAGTTAAATTGCCATTCATTTTGTATTTTAATCTAACCTACTGGTGATTTAATTTACAAAACCCAAAGGAAGTGTACGCTCAAATATTGGAGGACGTTAACGTATCAACCACTGTTTAATTTTGGAATGTGCCTACTTGCTTGACACAATATTTTACCGTCTCAACAAATGTTTAGCCTTTTTTTTTTTTCACTTGACTAAAGAGAAATAAGTTTCACTTTGCCTCATTCACCTTCTTCTGTGCATATGCCGGGGAAGACTGGATGTTAAAAAAAACTTCCTCATGTTCCTTTCTCCTACATCGAAGCCTGTTTACCAACTCAGAGCTGCTAGAAAGCGCTGCATTCTCCTGCTAAGTCAGCTGCATGGCTAGAAACCAAACTGTAATGCAACAAGGGGAAAAATTATTTCTTTTTGTGGCAGAACATTCTTGAGGAGGTATAACATTTTTCTGGTCCCTATGCCAAGTTTTCTTTTTCCTTCCTTTCTCTGTCTTCCTTTTTTTTTTTAAAAAAAAAAAAATATATGGGTTAGAGAGAGAGAAACATCGAGCAGTTGCCTCCCCATGTACTTTGGTTGGGGATGTGCCAGCAACCAAAGTACATGCCCTTGACTGGAATCGAACCTGGGACCCTTCAGTCCACAGGCTGATGCTCTATCCATTGAGCCTGGTTAGGGCTCTTTCATTTTTAAAGGCTTTCAGGCTTTATGCTGATACTCTATAGTTATCTAGCAGTTCTAATACTTTGTGACATTTTGTATTGTGACCCTATAGATGAAATTGTCATCGGACTGACACTCTGTGCTGTGAGTCCCTAATTACAGCTGTTCACGCTGCAGAGCATGCTAACCCGCCAGTGCATATTATGAAAACAACGTTACTGTTACCCACACCAGCACCCACTCAACAGGATGTTCCCAACATGGTAGTGTACGGGAACGTGTCGGCACAATGGATGTTTCAATCTCGTTTGTTTAGTTTGTCCTATTATCTTCCTTTAAAAACACAAACCAGTTGGAACCATACAGTCTTTCGTTGTACGGCAGGTAGCATAGCTTCCCTTCAGTAGCAGGAGCTGCTTCTATAGTTAGAGAAGTTATAATTTTTGTGTGCAAACAGCAGTGCACTGAGGAACCTCAGAGCTGGTTAGGGTTGTGACCCAAAGCTTTCTGACAGTTGTTTCAGAAATAATGAAAATAGAAGGGAGAGGGAAGGGCAAGTTTAAAGATGAGTAGATAAGGGAGGAGCTGTTTGTACTCACAGGGTTGGCAAGTCAAAACCCAATAGCCGTCCCCAGCTCTAGGAAGGCGTCCTTATCCCGAACCGAGTCCGAGCTGAGGTAACTGGCTGCTGACCAAATGCTTTGTAGTCATTGGTCCTGCAGAACCTGTAGAGCTTTGATTATCGCCCAGGAGCAAAATCCTCTGAATCTATTTTCTGACAAATATTACAACACTAACGCAGCTAAGTGCCACGGTCTTTTTCATTTGTTAGAAGAAACTAAAATAGTGAGCCTTGACCCCATAATAAAGTAACTGAAAAGTAAGGATTCTAGAAAATGTAAAGTCAGAACTAACAACTGGTACTCACTGTTTAGATGAGAATGACTAAATGATTTAAAAAAAATAACACACAGCACTAATTTAGCAATTTATTTAATCAGCAGTCTGCCTTCCAATATCAGTTTCTAATGCTTGCATGGATTTGGTCGAAAGCAAATTCATGACCTTGAGATAGTAGTGGGTCTCTAAGGGACAATCTGAGACTGGCCCGTAGATTCTCATGTCTTTACTGTCATTGAGGAGGTGATGAGGCATAAACACATACTCGGTTCCTCCGGCCTGCAGATTCTTTAATATTCAGCTTTACTAAACACGTTTTTAAAGCTAGTATGAGAAGAACTTATCACTGTGCCTTGTTCCGAATGGTATTTTCTGCTTCATTTTGATTTTCAACACCAATAGGATATGGTGCTCTTCCTAAAAGAAACTGTTCCCATTTGGGAATATAGTCTTCCACTGATGCCCAGTAAAGAGTCTAGGAGAAAAAACATGCAAAAGAAAAAAAAAAACATATCAAGCAATTGAACTTGGCTCTTCATAATAGTCTAAATGTTTATTCACTTAAATGTGTGTGTGCGTGTACACACATACATGTAGAATGCACTTCCTCTACAGAATATTTTATGTTAATTTTAGAAAAAAAAATCTGGCTACTTACTAGTGTTAATTTTCAAATTTCTCAGTAAAACCAGAGCCTGGCAGAATTACAGATTTCAGAACTTTATTGTGATTTTGCACGCCCTCTTGTGGCCAACTTTGTGATTATTACCAGTATTTATCATTTATGGCTACAGTTGTTAAATGCTGTTCTTTAATGTTACAAATCCCATACTAAGTGATTACCCACCCTAAAATTATTACAATAAAATGATTAAACATGAATTGCTTTAAAATTAACATAAAATATTTGACCTGGGATGAAGTCAGGAACCGAAATATAACTAGTATGTTACCATATAGGATTCAGGTGAATTGACCCTTTATTTGCATGGGGAAAACATAAAAATGCACTGTATCTTTTAACAAAGCACATGATATGACAGATTTTAATTTCTTTCCTTTTTTTGTATAATGAAAAAAAAACCAAGATTACTTAACAATTTTTTAATTCAACTAAGTTGGAAGTTGAGGGGCTGTGTGATTGGCCTGCCTCTAGCAGTCTGCAAGTTCTAGAAGCTCCTGCAACATCACCATCTTCTGTGTGTGAGCTTTAATGGTTTCTTGGCTGACTGTCCTAAGGAGGTCAAGAAAAGGAACTGCCCACGCTCCTTGTCACAGGAGGGCATCTTGTATTAGGTCATCACTAGCAATGTCACTTTGGGAAGGTCAGCCGGTTGGACAGCCTTAAGAACCCATAATGACTCACTCTGAGCATGAGAAAGCTCCAGGGGTTCTGAGAGTTGAAAGTGGCGAGGGATCTCCATAACCCTGCATGAGTGCACGTGGTCGGAGAAACTGCCTGACGACCTTAAACTAGAGGTCCACCTGCTGGGGAGACCAGCTGAGAGGAATACCAGGAGGCCTGCCTGCGGTTGGGAGCTTCTCACCATTCACTGCTAGATGCACCCCTTTTGTGTGGGCCTGAGTTAGGTGCTGGAGCCTTCAACAAAGAAAAAGACATGCCTAGGGCACAGTCTGTACCAGGGTGTTTTCTCTCTGTGATCACTGGCTTTTCTTATTACTCCAGAACACAGAAAATTGAGGGGCAAGTTCTCAGCCTTTAACTTTGAGTTGATTCTCATCCCTGGTTAGGCAAGCAAAATTATATTTGAGAAAGGTCATTAAAAATATCAAATCAAACTATTCTATATGTAGTTAAATTCCCTTTCATCAAAAATACATTCATATGCCAAAGATGGTTTATTTTTGCCAACCATCTTCCCAATCTGTTCTTGAACTGAGCAAAATAAAACAGACAAAAGCCACACTACGCTGCATAAAATGCATTTAAATCGCATCGGTTGCATGTTTGGTGAAGGGCTGGACTGCATGCTCCTTGTAACTTCAGCCAACAGGAAAGGCACTTTGGTTCGGCACGTTGGCGCCTGACCCGTTAGTGCATATTGTCTGCCAGGGTTTAACGGGATAGTTGTTTCTAACTGACTAGGTGAAAAGACACAGGATCTTTATAAAATTTTCACTTGAAAAAATTTTCTTTTCATTAAGATCTCATCAGTTACCTATTATGTACAAACTATGGTTCTGTGGACATATAATGATCAGTCATATCTTATTTTAACTGAATAAATACATCTTGGAAATACGCACATATAACCACTCGTTAATTTACAATGAGAGAGTCGCTACCTTTGTTTCTTAAGATTCTCACCTCAAGAGACACCACTTCAGGTGGTGGAAGTGGGTGACTCCGGGTCTGCAGAGACTTTTCTGCGGCTTCTATATCCTGGAACAGACATCAGCACTGAAAACATGCCTTCACACAGCACGCACCTGCGGTAGCTACAGGGCTGTCCCAACCCTCTCACCCCAGCTCTCCTCGGATATGGTTTGAACTGATGGAGGCACTCAAGTAGGAGAGCTGCTCATTGCTTAACTGACCATTTCAGATACAGAATGCAGGGCTTTTTTTAAAAAAATAAAAGGTGCGGGCGGGGGGTACTTCTAAGTTCTGCCTTATCATTTTAAATAGTGTCAGTAATTTCTGTAAAAAAAACCCCACCACAACAAAAAACAAAAACAGAAAAAACAAAACCTTCCTCTAAAACTGCTCAGAGCACCAACTTAGCTCTAAAATCATTAAAAACAGCCAGATGGATAAAATAGTCAAATATTCAGATACAAAAACAGTCAGTTACCCAGCCCCACACTGTACTAACCTTAAAAGAGATCGATTCTGTCTGGATCATGTAAATTTTATATTAATGACACATTCATTTTTTCAGTATTCCACTCTTGTAAAATTTTACACTTATGCAAATACTCCACATATTTAAAGGTCAGTAAGGTACCTTGGCAACAAGAACCTGTTCACTTTACTATCTAGATTTTTAGAACTCGATTTCTAAGGTGATCTCAGGGGCAGGTCTGACTGCCCGGCAGAAGATCATTCAGCTGGCGGCATTCGAGCCCTGTGCTTTCTTTTGGAGCTTCACTTGCAGACGCATGTATTTTCTCTTATGATTGTAGCAACACCAGGGTAATTAAACTTAATCCATACCCTGGGAAAGACTTTACCTTGGTGCATGTATGAATCTCATGCCCAGAAACATAGCACCTCCAAGTTGTTCCCGAAACCTGTGAGCTCTGTTTAAATGAATGCTCCCATCAGCACCTGTGTGTCTGGTGCTTGCTTATGTTTGTCAGGTTCACAGAGGCCTTGGCTGAAGGCCATGTAAATTCTGTCTCTCCTTTGAGCTTAGAAAAAAAGGAAAGTTCTCTGATCCTGGTACAAGCATTGGAGCAATCTAAGTACAGGGCTGTTGGACAGACGGAGGGAGATGGAGAGGGCGTGGGCGTGGGGTGTGAAGAAGCCAGTGCTGAACAGGAGAAAAGAGATAGCAGATGGCAGCGGCGGGGAGCACGGGATGGGTGTGAAATGTAAAAGGGAAAAACAGGAAATTCCCTAAAGGGACTCCCCAAAGTTGCACAGCCATTGATGCACCTGCTGTCTAGAGGAAGGTGATTTGAAGGGGAAAAACATACATTTAGGGAGAAAAAGCCCATCTATTAGCATGTTGATCCCGTCCCAGAAGTTTACAGCTAAGGCACATGCTGAGGAGATTTGATGCCAATGCTACAGCAGACAGAGAACACTAACTCTTCTGTGATTACAGTGAGATTTTACGGAGACCTGGGAAAATTATGTTTTACCTTTATAAGACAAATAGGATAAAATCACAACCCTAATTATGCCATTATTCTAAGAACAGCTATAAAGTTGTTTGTACAGGGGTGAGGGGAGAGTGGAAGCGGGGAGAGAGAGAGAAACATCTGTGTGAGAGGCACACATAGCATGATTGCCTCCTGCACACACCCCAACCTGGACTGGGGATTGGACCTGCAACCCAGGTATGAGCCCTTGACTGGGTATTGAACCTGCAACCCCGCAGTGTGCAACCACTGCTCAGTGGTATAGTTATTGTTAGTGGTAGATCTAGGTGTCACTGGTACCTGTAGGCAGGATTATAAACACTTTTCTTAAAGATCAGAAAGTAAGGCCACTGAATCTCTCTCACAGGAGAGCAGCTCCGTACAGGGAGGCGCGGCCTGGAAGGCAGGCCTGGGCTAGGGACAGGCGGTCCCCTCTGCAGCATGTCCACAGGTCATCCCCTCCAGAGGACTTCTTCCTGAGGTGGATTCGCTTTGTGGGCGTCCTGCATACCTCTCTGACTCCGTGTCTTTCTTCTTAGCTGCCTCCTTTCTCTGTTAGCCCAAGTGTGGGCTTTCTTAGGATTTGTGACATCTGTTGTCTTCTTTTCACTTTTGACTTGGTCTCTCCTCTTCTGCTCCAGCCATTCATGTACAAGGACGGGTGCCTTTTCTCCCTGGCCCATACTGCTCAGTCTAATAAACCAAACTCATCATCTTACTGCCGAAGGTACTGAATGTGTAACAGTGGGAATGCAGTTCACCCAGCTGCCCTTTATCTTCAGCTCTTTCACTCTCTGCCATTGAAAGTTCAGCGCTTCAGGGTGTCTGTCTTTCCGAGTCATTCCCAATGCGATGGGCTTATTACACTTACCATTCAACAAATCCTTCCTGAATGCTTTCTTGGACTATGCCCAGACTACATCCCATTTTACTTCAGTCCATACTGAAATGGATTAATTTTGCTAAAAGACTTTAAATATATCCTTATCTAGATTAAGAAAATAACTGATACCCACTACCCAGAGGATGAAGTATGAATTTCTTAGCCTGACTGGCAAATGTCTGACTGCACACTGCCAGAAGGAAAGGATCAGCAATTACGCTTGAAATGATGCTTTATATGTGATGGAATTAATTTTAATAACATTTTACTTAATCTATTTCATGTGATTTTATTGAAAGTGTTTACCAGAAAATCTAAAATTACATATGTGGCTCTCATTCTGCTGCAAAGCACAACTTAGGCGTATCAGTTCCTAGGAATGCTGGGAGTCAAAGAGACATACCCAGTGATACCTCAGTAATGTAATCGGCAATACCTGGGCCCTGGAAACCTCTATGGGACAAATGACCCAATTTCTTCAACAAAGAAATTAAAAGGGCAGGAAGGCTTTTAGAGATTCAGGACTGCAATCAATCAATTAAAAATTGGATTTTTATTTGCATTTTTAAAGGATTATACTTTTTAGCTTAATTTTTTCCCATCACCATTTATCCCCCATACCCTCTTCCACTCCCACTCCCACGCCCAACCCCACAGTCACCTCACTGTTGTGTTAATGGTGGATTTTATCTGAATCCTGATTCAAACAAATGTAAAAACATGTGTTCATAAGTGAATCAGGGAAATCTGAATCCTCACTGGATATTTAAAGAATTACTGTAAACTTCTTAGATTGAAAATGATATTGTGACTTTGCTTAAAATAGTCCTTTTACTGATAAACACTGAAATAATACAGAGGTAATGAATTGGGCAGATGAAACAATGTGTTGCTGAAGATTAGCTTCAAAATAATCTGAGGAGCTGGGATTGGAGGTGAGGGGCATGGATGAGCACGATGGCTGTGTTTGATAATCATTGAATCTGGTGATAGGCACATGGAAGTACATTCTTCTCATGACAATTAAAATACAAGCTTCCCTTGTGCATGACAGGGCAGCCAGTAGAGATGAGCGGACATGATCAGGAAAGGTCAGGCTCAAACACGAAGCTCATGGACTGAGGTCTTCCCCTCCTCACAGACGCTCCTCCCTCCCCACCCAGCAATAGATATCGCCTTACAAATATATAGTGAACCCAGCTGGGGCTGGGCTGGGTTTAATCTTTTAAGCTGCTGGAGGTGCAATTTCTGGGATAGGAAAAATAAGACAATAAAGCAGGAGATACAGGGTCATTGTTACAAGGAATACTTAAGTATTCCCTTATTCATATTCACTTATTCTTCATTGAATTGGCGAAAATGAGAAATGTGAGGAGGAAAGAGGGCCAAGGTGGACCTGTAAGTCACTGGCCATCCTGAGTGACAAGCAGTTTGTGGAAGGCTCTGTCAGCTGGCTAATTTTTGCAAATGCATTTAGAGAAATTTTACTGAGTTTCATATTCATTTTGTTGGGACTTTATTACATTTAAAAATAGCCCTAGCTAGTTTGGCTGAGTGGATAGAGCGGTGTTCTGTGGACTGAAGGGTCCCAGGTTTGATTCCAGTCAAGGGCATATGCTGGGGTTGCAGGCTCGATCCCCAGTGTGGGGCATGCAGGACGCAGCCGATCAGTGATTCTCTCTGGTCATTGATGTTTCTCTCTCTCCCTCTCCCTTCTTCTCTGAAGTCAATAAAAATATATTTTTTAAAAATTTAAAAATAACTTTGTGACAACTGACCTTAGAAAAGTAATACAGCCCAATCAGGATTAAGGTATTGTATCTTCACTTAAGTTTTCTCTTTAAAACGTAATTGTTTTTATACAAATCATGCCCTTTGTTAAGAGCATTCCCAAGTATTTTATAATTTTATTGCTAATGTGAAAGTTATCTCTTATATTTTCCAACTGTATCTATAGGATTGCTGTTGACTTTATATGTTTATCTTTTATTAATTTTGCTCAACTCATACTAGTTGTAAAACAATTTTGGCTTTTCTTAGTATATAACCACACCATTTTAGAATGCTGGTGTTGTGCCTGCCTTTCTAAAAGTTAAAGCTCACTCCCTTTTAGTGTTTATTTTTATTGGCCAGAACATCTAAATAAGATCAAGTAATGGATGGTGAAATAGGTTATCCTTATTTTGTTACTACTATATTTATAGGAATGCTTCCAAGTTTTAATGGAACCATTTTTGATGCACATTCTGCACTAAGTACATATCGTTATGTAACTCAACCTGTTCTTGACAAAGGGTATTAGTAGTAGCTATTATGGTTCCTCATCTCTACATAAAGGAATTAGAATAGATTAGTGGTTTTCACAGTTCCTTAGAGACACAGCAGGGCAGGCAAAAAAGAGTTAAGTGGGTAGGGCTTTGGACCAAAGCTGTCCATTTTTATCTATTTTACATCTTTGGAAAAGTTATATGGTGAAAAACAATTAAAAACCTTTAGATGACAATCTAATCTATATGCTGTTTAAAGTCTCTTCCAACTCAACATTCTATAATCAAGTCCTATTTATTTTACTTTCACAATAATTTTATAAGCCATTAAAATTATTTTCAAAGTTAAAAAAATATGAGAGAAAAAATAAAAAAAACTGTGTACACAGTTATTCAAAATATGTAAAACAAAGACAGGGAACAGACTGTATCTGGGACGTAATAGGTGCTCAATAAATGTTTATTAAAAGACTGTTAGGAAATGTACAAAAATATATTAATTCCTAGATGGGCAGGATAAGGAAGTTATTTCATCTTCTTTGCTCTTTCAAGATTTTTGCAATGCGAATATATTACTTTGATAATCGGGGGTAAAGACCATATCACACTGGTTTCTGATGGCTATGAAACAGTTCATTATTTTCCTTCTGGATATGACAGTTAATTTCATACCTATTAGATCCAATCTCTCTGTTCTTGAAATCACGTTACATCTAAATAGCAAATGAATCCTCCTCCAATACTCACTCATACGTTTCCTACATAAGTCTTTATTTTTCTTTTGCTCACACACTTTCACTATGATATTATCTGTACAGATCAAGTCTCAATTTACTCATGTGGACTCACATATCCAACCTTTTCCTGTGACTTGCCAAGCTAGTTAGCTCATGGCTCCACGAATGCTCTTAGGGCCACTCATTCTCCTGCTCTTGGCTCTCCTGCAGCCATCCAGCGGAATGCATCGCCTTCTGCCTGTTTGCACACAGCTACAGCTTAGCCTCCTCTGAGACCATTAAAAGATTTGAGCTCTCCAAGATTTTTTACACTTAACTCCTAGAATATGAGTGCTGAGTAGTCCACATAACGTACCGTTTGATCATATAAAGTCTCATTTGATGTGTGACAACTTTATATCATCAACTAAGCCTGTTAGCTTCTTGAGGTGAAGAACTCTGATTTATATTTATTTTGTGGTCCCCACTTTCTAAGTAGAACTAGCTCAATTGTAAGGACCTTCTGGATATTCATCAAATAACTTGCTCATTAAAAGATGCCTGAGAACCAAACGTTACCTGCACTTGCAGGAAGTAAGTGGCAACCAAGCCTTCAAGCCTCTTAATTAGTTTTTCTGACTTTTCACAGCAAATTCCAGATTATCCTATATTTTTCCATTTAAAAATAAATATTGCAAAAACCATTGGGCAAGTAAGACATATGGCAATATAGAATGCTTTGGTAGCACTATGGCTGTGACTTAAATTACTGTGGCTCAAACTGCCAGAAGCTGAGAAGATAACTGAATTTTCCTCTTCCTTTATCCTCTAGTGAGGACAGAAGATAACTATATCATGCCTATCGATGAAAATATTTAACAATAAAAACTGAAAACACTGCTTTATAACTTAAATAATATAGCCTTACCACCAAATGTTTTAGTCATAGGATCTCTTGGAAGCTTGACTGGAAGCAAACTTTTAGGGTTTTAATTATGGATGAAGCCATACAATTCTGGAAGCAAAGTACAGCAAGCAGCCAAAAATGTTACACATATGATTTTACTCCAAGTGGGCACATTGGCCAAGTGGTGAGGCCCTGCGCAATTATACACTTTGACCACCCCCTCCATCACCATCAAAAGGGATCTTGAAAATCTGTTATGTTAGATATGAATCTGTGTGTTGACTGTGGCCCCAGTAAGGCAAAATCAAATCGTTCTTGTTTTTATGATGTTAAAATAGTTTTGAGTTGGATCTAAATACATTATAGGTACTTTATAGTATTTCAAGATCTCCCTACAAAGAAAAGATGGAAAGCTACATCTTGTATTTATTACTTATGGCACAAAAGATGACCGTAAAATTACTTCCGTAGTCATTGATTTTCTGGTTGATTGAGAACATTTAGCTTAAGCAAACTTCACTTTTTTTCATTTAAAAAATAAGAATCCGTATGTTATTTATCTAACTAACATGGGTCTAAAAATAGACGATGCTTCATTAATTCTATTTATTACTCACAACAAAGACATTATATAAATCAAAATTATGAACTTCACTTGAAACCTTTTTCAAAGGTGGACAAAATCTCTATACTCAAGTCATGGAAACGTACCTTTAAAAGGCGAAGGTTCCTTTTAAAAGCAGCCTCAGCTGCTTGAATCTGAGATGCCTTTTCCTTGTTTTGATCTTCAAATTCACTCTCCATTTGCTGAAGTAACTTTAATCTTTGTGATACTCTAGAAAAAAATGGAGATTATATAAAGTTCTTTTAGACGGAGACATTTTATTGCTTGACCAATACAAAACATTCATTCCTTAATTGTATTTCACTTTGAGTTCAACCTATTTTGAAAGCCAATTTCTATGCCAATTAATGAGGTAGTGAAGAACTTAGTAGTTCATTAAGTCTTAAATCTTATTTTTATTAACATATACTGGTATACCATAAGTACATGCTTCTGTTTTTTTAGCCTCTCTGGTCTTCTGAAATTATATTAAAATGTGAAAATATGTTTTCATTTTTGGTGAAAATGCAAACTGTAATACACATCCCTTTGTACATACTTTGTATATGCTTATATACACACCTCCACACACACATACATTGATATAACTTGCTATACAAAACCTTCTGCTTAACACTTCAATACCCCTGAAGCTCATGTTACACATTTAGAATTGTGCTAAACTTCCATATGTTTGAAGAAGCAATAAAAATATTTTTTGCTCTTTTGCCAAGAGAAAGATGAGTGAGAGGCTGTATGTATGCATACCCACAAGGTAAATCAGCAATTGAAGAAAGATGTAAAAAGTTGTAAGTGAATTATCAAACTACTCTGTGATGCATAATATACTTTAAAAGTTTCTCACTGGTCCAATACTCAGTTTACAAGTTTTTGGTCCTCTTAAATGATTCATAAGTAAAGATGTCAGGTGATAAAAAAATAAGTAAGTGGTATATATAATAGTCTAACCATTCCCCAAATAAATGTGGTGATTATCAAGAAACACTGCTTCATAGGGCTGTGATTGAGGGTAGAGCTAGAATTTGGTATTTGAACAGTTATTTTCGTAAGCAAAATTTCTTAACACATTGTGGACGGATCACGAGAATTCTCGCTTCATATTACACAGTGTTTTACAAAGTATACTTAAAAAAGATATTAGCTTGTAAGAACATGTAATAAATAACTTCAAAATGCAATGGGTATTTAATTTTAAAGCGTGCCTTTAACATTTATGTAAAACGTTTTTTTGTACCCGTTCAATAGAAACCTTTCTGTCCACTGGGTAAAACCAACAATAAAACTATTGGTCCGCAATGTGTTAAAAGGCCAAGGAAGAGGGCCTGGTAATTAATTAGAGGAAAGGAAAACATGAGAACCTGCAGTCAGAGGTGGAGAAGGCTTAATACCAAATGTAAGTGCAAGACTGACTATATCACTGCAGGGCCCAGTGCAGAATGAGAACGTGAGACCCCCCGTTAAAAAATACTCGGAATTTCAAGAGTGCAACATTAGGGAACTAAGCCAAGTGTGAGGGCTGTGGCTGCACAGGGCACATACCCTAGGAAGTGGGCCCAGGGTAAGAGGCCTAGAGAAGTCCATTAATTATTCGTGTGTAGCCTAGAAAGGGTGAGAGGAGGGGTGAAGTTATCTAACTATTAGTAATAAAAATAAAAACATATAGAATAGAATTATACCTTTTAGTTTTTGTTATTCTTGAGACAATGGCCTTCCCTAAGACCAAAATCTCTCAAGTGTCAGATAATTGAAATGACACACTTTCAGATCTTCAAGTCTTCCTGTGCACACAGTGTTTCACTAAATAGTGTAATTTATACATTTAGATTGATTAGCCTTGAAAGAAACTTACATTTCTTCATGTCTTTTAGAAAGGCGAATTTCTTGAGCGAACAAGGAAGTCATCTTTAGTTAAAGCTGCCTTATGGGCTTTCTGCTAAATAATAAAAACATTTAGTTATTTCCACCACATGTCCTCAGCTTTGCAACATTTGATATTTTAGTACCTCAACCCATTGGTTCTCTCAGAAGGAAAAAAATAAATAAAACTTGAGATGTAATAATGTATAAAATGAAAGATTGCACCTAAAAACATTTTTACTTACAATGCACAGTTTTTCTTACACCAGATGCATCTAAAAATACTGTGAATCAGGTAAACTCCCCCCCCCACACACACACATATTTTAACCTTAAACAGAATTCAAAACAAACACGCAGCTGGTACTAAGACTAGTAAACATTTTATTGAATCAACAGAAAGAAAAATATCTACTCTGTAAAATTCATCACAGGAACAGCATCCCTCATGCACACACACACACACACACACACACAGAGAGAGAGAGAGAGAGAGAGAGAGAGAGAGAGAGAGAGAGAGGCACACAAGTATTAGAACCACTGAAAGCTCCCATTGTTGGAAGACTGCCCTGTCCCACCATCTCTTTTCCAAATAGGAAGGTGTTTTTTGTGTGTAGCTGTGGGAAAAGCACCACTGGTCCCTCGACCTCACCCTGGCTGCTCGGGACTCACACCTGGGGAGTCTGGGAAGGCCATTTCCATGGCGCATGAGCTAGCTCACCTTGGCTGAAGAGCCCGGGCCAGTCCGGGCGCAGGTCCAGCACGTGCTCTGAGAGGCTGGGATCCTGAAGGCAAGGCATCTGATTGGGTGCAAAAGTGGAGGGGCCACCCCTAAGGGGGAAAGACAGGCATAACATTCCTTCCTGCAATTCCAGCTTTCCTAAACTTTATGAAGTGACACACTGACTGCTAATCGCCCACGTGCCCCGGGCTGTGGAGAGACTGAGTGCAGGGAGGGGAGCGGGCCAGGCATTCGCACACGCTTCGCCTGCCTGTCCCATCCCCCCTCCCCCAGGATGGGGTTACAGATATTTCCCCCTAAAATCCCTACAGCCCCGTCCTCGCTGCCCTCCCAGTTCCCAGTGCCGCGCCAAGGACGTCCCAGAAAGTTGATCCAGGGTCACCTTTCTTCCGTGCCGCCTGCCATCAGCACTTCAGAGGAACCGCACAAGAATTCGGCCTTTTGAACCGAAGATCCGCGCGGTTTCGCAGACCTCAGCCCTCCGACCACCCCACGTCCTGCCTACACACCCACAGGCTCGGGGACGGCCCCCCGCACCGGCTCTTCCCCGAGCGGAGGTCCCCTGCCCTGCAGACACCTCCGCCGCCTCAGCCGCTCGGGCAAGTCCAGCGACCCACCCGCCGTGATGCGGCGGGACCCCACTCCGACCTCTTCCGGAAAAGCACAGCGTCTGCGCACCGCCGGGTCTCAGGGCGGGCCTGGGCGTGGCCACGCAGCCGTCCCCAGTGACGTCATCACGGCGTGATAAAAGGCGCCTCGGAGTGCGAGGTCGGCGAGGTGGCGCCACTCGGAGTGCCCTGCGCCCTCAGAGCCGCTGGCTGAGAGGAGGGCCCCGGGAAACTGCTTTCGGCGCTGGCGCAGCTTCAAGGCCGTTTGAAACGGGATCCGGAAGTGTTCAACGGGCTTCGAGGGCGCGGCCGGGCGCTTGGCAGCTGCAGTGTCACAGTGTGGGTGTGAGGAAGCGGTCCGGACGGTCCAGCCGGTTCCCGTGGGCTTGGCGGTCTCACCGTGGGTGGCCCCGGCCCCTGCAGCTCGCACACCCAGAGGGGCAGTGGATGGCTTTCCCCGGCCTGAGCCTGTGTGCCCGCGGCTGTGTTTATGTGATTACCCCATTCACCGAATCCCCCTGGGACGGGTGAGAGGTACCGGTGTCCGCCCTGGGCAGGAGGAGAAACAAGCTTGGTCGCTTCTTTAGGTCCTGGCTTGAAGCCAGCAGAGAGTTGATTAAATCTCCCGCTGCTCCCAGGACACACACCCGGGAGTCACCCCCGGGACCGTAAGGACGTTCTTACACATCCCTTCCCCTTGAAATCGCTTTGCGCGGGAGGTAGTACTGTCATCGTCACAGGGGGAGCGTGAGGCTCAAGAGGCGGAAAGCAGTTTTCTCCTAAGGTTTCTGAGTTGGTAAAAGGCAAAGGGCTAGGACTCCAACCCAGAGGTCTTCTTTTTATTCCTAAATAGCTACCTAAAACAGATCTCCCTTGGGGACCATGGCACTTCCAGGTACTATGTAGCCTGGGTTCTTCCTCTGTCCACGTTGTTTCCTTACAGAAGCACCGCTCCACCTCCTCTCTCTGTCCTCCTCCTCCTCTTTTTTCCCCACCACACAGTGACATCCACATCTTTCTTTTCCTTTATTTTTATTGTTGACAGTATTACCGATGTCTCCACTTCTCCCCCTTTGCCGGCCTCCACCAGCCCCTGCATATCTTATAGTCACTTGTTCATTTGTTTACCAGTGTACCCCCTACTGGAATGGGAATGCCCTAAGAACAAGTATTTTCTTAGGAGGATCTTCATTTTCACTTCAATTAAATCTAATGGGGTGACATTGGTTAATATTATATAGGTTTCAAGTGTACAATTCTATGATAGGTCATCTGTATATTGGACAATGAGCCCATCACCCTGTATTTGACTCCCTTTAACCCTTTACTACTCTGAACTCCCTTCCTTCAGGTAACCACCATACTATGGTCTGTGTCTTTGAGTTTTTAAAGATCAGGTATTTTTACCTTTTATTTGCTGTTCTGTTCTTAGCAACTAGAACTGCCTGACATGTAAGTGCTCAGTAAATATTTTTTGAATGAATAGATGAAATCCCCAAATGAATTTCCATCATGAGGTCGTAGAGGTCTGTCTTCAGGTCATAGGACCTTTGACTTAGTTCTTCCATAGTTTTATTTAGTAAACATGAAAAATAGACCCTTGTTTGGCCCTGTGTTCTAGGAATGAAGTAGAGGTTACAAGGCATTCTTGTTTATCTTTTACTTAATTTAAGAATTTTCCTTAAGTTGGTAATGGGTTGCATGGAATAGGGAACTGAGAGTGTACATTCAATATTTGTATGCTGCTTAAAACAAACTTTGCTCAGAACTGAGAGTGTACATTAAATATTTGTACATTGCTTAAAACAAACTTTACTCACCTACTGCCTTAGAAATTTTCATGCAGGTTTTAGGAGACTAGTAGTTGAAATATTCTTAGTGTCTCACAGACCCTTAGAGGTTATCTACATAGACAGTGATAATTCTTCAGCCTCCAGAAAAGAACTAACTCTCTACTTAAAGGTCTGTGGTGATAGGAGGATATTTGGATTGCTATCTTCACTTTATTATTTTAGATTAAACCTATTGAGTTGACATTGGTTAATAATGTTATATAGGTTTTCCCTCCTCAGTCATAGGCCACAGCTAAGCCTTTCTGTGAGAACCAGAGCTAGGAAAAGCACTGGCAATTGCAGGCTATCTATTACTGTACAGCTTCTGTATTTATTAGATAAATTTGGGTACTTCCTGGGTGAGATATTCATGGTCTATTCTGTGAATTATTGCAACCTTCTGAGTAATACCTGGCCCATAATGGGGCATTCTGTAAATGTGTAGTGAGGTTTATATTTCCCAACCTTGGACTAGTTCTGTTCATCAGCTTGATATCATTGTCCCCTTAGCCTCACTATTGAGAAAGTACTGTCATCTTCTCTTCTATATATATAAAAGGCTGATATACAAAGTGTCCCCTCAGGAGTTCAACCAGGAGACTGGGAGTTCAGTCACTCGCTATGATGTGCACTGACCACCAGGGGGCGGTGCAGAACAAAGGAAGGCCCCAGCCAGCAGCCAGAAGGCCCTGATCGCTGGCCAGGCCTAGGGACCCTACCTGGGCAAGAATTTCATGCACCAAGCCTCTAGTTTAGTCATAAATTCTATAAGGATACACAATGAGTGGCTAGATTATTATGACCACTGATGTTTGTAGGCAAATTAGCTATAATTTCATGCTGAAGTTGCTAGAGAGCCAGACCATTATAAATAGGGAAGCAGGTTGTTTACCATGACAGTAGAAGGGATTTTTTTTTCTGAAGATATGGGTAAGCAACGTGATTTTTTAAAATATATATATTTTATTGATTTTTTACAGAGAGGAATAGAAAGTTAGAAACATCGATCAGCTGCCTCCCGCAACTCCCCACCCCCCCAATGGGGATGTGCCCTCAACCAAGGTACATGCCCTTAACTGGATTCGAACCTGGGACCTTTCAGTCCGCAGGCCGACGCTCTATCAACTGAGCCAAAGCG